CTCTGGCTACTTTTCTGCCCAACCATGCTGCCTGTCTGTCACTCAGAATGACCCATTTCCCCTGAAGCGAAGCACAGGGCTGCACCAAGTAGTCCACAGTGGCCCATAACCAGCTAATGATGTCACCTAGGCTGGAGGACTCTTCATTAAAGCTGGATCAATCTGGCAGCTAACGCGAGGCAGGATGCCAGAACTACAGCTGAGAATGGTTGGAACAGGGCAGGAGGATGTGTGTCCATAAAACCCCAAAACGACATGTATCACCGAGTGTTTTTTAATGTCTGAAAGTTGCCCCCAGAGGATTGATTCCATCTCAAGTTAGAGACACAAACACACCATGCTCGTACCCACTAGGAGGGGTGCAGCCATAAGGAGAGATGAACGACACAGTTTCAAAGGTGTGTGTTCGGTGTCGACATAAAGACAGACACAGTCTTTACTGAGCTTATCTTGGGCAAACACGGGCCAAAAGAGACAGAGAGAAACGATGAAGGCTCAAAGTTTTGTTAACCAGCCTACTTTTCAAAATTCTGTCATTTTTCTTGAAAAGACGAGCCGTCACATGGCTTCAGTTCCACTGAAAAACCCGAAATTAAAGAAGAGAAAATGAGAGACTTCTTAATGTGGTACTTAATTTCTTTACAACTTACTGCACATAATAATCTGCACTTTGTATTGAGAGTCAGGGTTTCTACACAGTTGTGGAAACATTTGCTTTCAGTGTCTTTGAGATTTGGATAACTGTACAAAGAAGCATAATATAAATAATATATTGAATATATATTATTTATTTCCAGATTTGATTTTCTATTTCTTTATCTAAAGTTCATGCCCTTCTTTATATCCTTTCTTCTTATGTCCTTCCTTCCTTTCTAGCTTCATTCCTATATTCTGTTATTATGTTATTTCTTCCTTACCTCCCTTCTTCCTAGTTTTCCTTCATTCTTTCCTTATTTTCTTCCTAATTTACTTAATTCCTGCAACTCCCTTCCTTCTTTCCATTTTTGTCCCTTCTTCTCTTCATTCCTTATGTACTTCATTCTTTCCTTCCTTATGTCCTTCCTCCCTTTCTTCCTTGTATTGTTCCCTTTTTCCTTCCTTGTGACCTACCTTCCTTTCATCCTCATGTTCCTTCATTACTTCTTTCTGATCATCCTCCTTCTTTTCCTAGTGTCCTTCTTTTCCTCTCACACCCTTCCTTCTGTGTTTCCTCATCTCCTTCCTCTCTTCCTTCCTCGTTTACTTCTTTATTTTCTTCCTTTTGTTGTTTGTTCCTTCCTTTTTTCCTTCCTTCTGTCCCACCTCTCGTTGTTTCTTTCCCCTTTCTTTTAGTAACTTTTTATGGGTCCTCCTTTATTTCATTACTTGTGTCCTATGTCTCTTAGGGGTTTTTTTGTACATTACTCCCTTCCTACCTTACCACTTAGAAACAGCTGCCTTAGAATAACACTTAACCTCTATTTTTGACATCAAATAACTGGGAAATCTGAGCATAGCAAAGTATTGAATTTTGACATTTGAACTCCTTACAGTTATGGTCCGAAGTTTACCTCCGCTCATGATGGGCATAAATGTTGTTTTTTTTTTTTTGTAGTGTGATTTATTTAAATTATTCTGTTCTTTTTATGTGATTATTTTATGATTAGACAACAAAGAACTACTAGGATTTTTAAGAAACAATAATAAGCTACTGTCTTTTTATAAGACAGTACCTTATTATTATAAACACAATGAGCTCATTGAAGCCATGGACAAGCTGCTAGCTTAATTCTGTTTAGAAACTTAACCATTGTCATTGGCAGTATTGCTAAAATTTATTTAAATTGATTGTCTTTTTAAAAGCGTCTACAGTTTTAAACATGATTGAGGATGTGGCTTTTGGAAGGCCATTCCGGAAAGTTAATGGTTGATGTATCCATTTCAAGCCCCTTAAACAAGTTCTGATGTGTACTTGGGATGTTTGTCCCATTTGGATTGCCCACTCATTTCCAAGATTGATTTGAGGTCAAGTTGAAAAATTTAGGTGTAGCCTTCCATGATTTAAAGCAAAAGCTCAAAGCATGATGCTGCCACCACCATGTTTTACAGTGAATACTGTCTACTTAATTTTGAAAGCTTCACCTTGACTCCTCCAAACATATTTCTTGTCATTGTGATGAAATTGCTCAAACTGTGTCTTTTCTGACCATAAAACCTTTCTACAGAAGGCATTTGACTTGTCCATGTGGGAAGCTAAAGATTTCTTGGCCAGGACCCTTTTAGTCAAAGGAGATCTGCAGTGAGGCTGTAAAAACACTTTTGATCTGGTTTTCTTGCAGTTTCAAGTTCATGGCACGCTTGAGACTTGGTGGTTTCTGGGTTGTTCCTTATATTCACATCTCATCTGAGGGTAAGAGTTTGGGCCTTCTCGTGAGTGTATGTAAACATCTTACTGTGGCTACACTCATTAGCATGCAGTGCAGCAGATACATTTTTAAACATGTAGAGAAGAGGTCTTGATTTAGCCCATTATTTCAACCTTGACACTGTACGTCGCAACCTTGTCAGCTTCAGTGTGGTTATTTTCTGCTTTTATGTCCTTGGTCAAACCTCCTGAGATCAGTGTGTTAGTCAGAAATTACTGCTTCTCTGTGAGTCATTACTCACAGCTCATCAGATCGCTCGTCTCTCCGTCTATGACAATGGCGCTATGCCATTAATTTACACTGTGGCAGTAATTCAGACTGCTCTGTGTCATACTTGTTTTACCATGTCTGCCCTTCAGTGATGTTTACCATTCATCTGCTTTATAAATGCTTTATAAATACATAATTTAGTGTTATTGTAGACTCAATGCATTTATGCTTTACTTTTCTCTTTGCCATTCAAATGGAGGGAAATAGGAAGAATGTACATATATATATGCAACACACTCCAACATCCATTGAAGTGACTCATATTTTCCATTATACTATACAAAACATGCAGATAGAAGAACTGAAGGAGACTAAATGCATAACAGAAAAAGTAAAATAATAAAATTTATTTATAGGAATGTTTCAGAAAATACAAGGAAAAAACATTAAACTGATTCTAAGGGCAATTGCTTTTTGTGTTGGTTATTTTTTATGAATTGTTCAATTTGGATTCTGTGAGTTATTATCAGCAGTTGGTGTCTGATATTGACTTGGCCCAATTCAAAAGTGTATTGTATTTCTGTATTTTAAAATGCTTGCAGTTTTGAGAATTTAGTAAACTCTAATGTAATTATACTTTGGATGATAAAGTCTGATGGAACATTTTGTAATACATATTTCACATAAAGTGAGACCGACACTATAAAACAGCCAGTGTATAAGCACAATGCCAAGCCGGAAAGCCATCAGCAATGACTTTAGAGAATAAATTGTTGCTGCCTATCAAAGTGGGAGGGTCTAGAAGGCCATTTCCAGACATTGTGATGTCCATCATTTTGCAGAGAAACACTACTGAAAAAGCTATACATTTTCTCCAAATTAAATGTCCCAGCATATTTGTCCTGAAGTCAGAGCATGCAGTGCTCAGATAACTTAAAGTCTATATTAGACTGAAGGTTGAAGGAGAAAGCCACTTCCCTCTATAAAGAATAAGACAGCATGACTAGGATTTGCAAACTTACATCTGAATGAACCACAAGACTTGTGGGGCAATGTCCTTTGAAGAGATGAAACCAAAGTAATGATGTTTGCCCATAATGCACAGTGCCATGTTTGGAGAATACCGAACACCTAATGTCAACACAAACACCTCATAACAACTGTCAGGTACGATGGAGTAGGAGTGGTGATTAGAACTTGTTTTGCAGCAACAGGACCTGGTTACCTTGCTTTCACTAGTCTCTTTGACAAAACACCTATTTCAGCTGATGTATGTACCTCATTTTAATTGTAAAAAATAAATATTTTATTGAAATACAATATTTTTTCTTCCATGGTGTCTTTGTCCACTTAATGGGCAAAAAATGTCATACCTAAATACAGAAACTGAAGAAGACACAGCTGAAAGACGATCACTTAAAACAAAAACAAACAAAATACTCAGGACATATAACTTAAAATAAAATATAAACTAGTGACATTGTTCAGCTAAAACTGTTTTTTACAAAAAAGAAGTAACAGTAATAAATCCAGAACCTTTCTTGAAGACTGGGTGTTACATATGTTGGAACCATATTTCAGCAGCCTGTAGATACAATGTGGTAACTTGACCATCAGGGTTTTAAAAATAGAAAAAAATAAATTAGGATTTTTTTTTCTTCTGAGTCATGATTATTCCCAGTGGACCAACTCAAAGTTTGAATGGTGAGTCTTTTTCTTTTGAACCTTTATACAGGGCCAAAACACATGATATACCATATCCAGTTGTGCAAATAAAAATGTAAAAACAGTTGTATAATTCATATCACCATGGTATAGAACTGACAAGAATGTGTTCTGGACAAATGAAAAAAAAAGTCTAAGCTTATTCAGAAGATGATTAAAAAGGAATATTATCAAACCAAATACAGATATTCTTATAATACAATCATCTTGAGTGCCATCTAATGTAGTAACAACAAACAAGAATGTGTGAAAACATTTTAAGTGTTTTTGTCATTAAGTGATAATATAAGTTTGACCAAAGAACTGAAAAGTAAAGATGTCACCATATAAATAATAGTATCATCTGCATAAAAGTGAACCATGGCTGAATCTATTCCTATCTTAAGGTTATTTATTCATTCATTCATTCATCTTCAATACCGCTTATTCCATAGTGGGTCATAGTGGCAGTGTACACCCTGGACAGGTCGCCAATCCATCCCAGGGCAACACAGAGAAATATTGGACAAACAACCATGCACATACTCATTCACACCTAAGGGCAATTTAGAGAGACCAATTTACCCAACAGTCATGTTTTTGGACTATGGGAGGAAGCCGGAGTACCCGGTGAGAACCCACGCATGCACGGGGAGAACATACAAACTCCATGCAGAAAGACCCCCCCGCTGGGAGTCAAACCCAGGACCTTGTTGCTGCAAAGCAACAGTGCTACCAATTGCGCCACCGTGCAGCCCTGAAGATTATTTACATATGAATAGAAAAAACATTTGTCATGCCGCATCAAAACAGATATGATTTTAGAGTAGTTCATTCAGCAGTGACACTTTAAATTAGATCAAAACAGATCTATGGGTCACCCTGATTTTTAAAAGCTCATGTCTCCGCGATATACCTGTCTTCACTGGTTATTTATGAACCCCCCCAGAGGTTGTTTAGAGGGAAGCTTGCCTTTGTGGGTTTGTGAAGAACCTGTTCCATGAAGTGGGTATTGAGTCGACCATGAATTCGTCTGTGTTCAAAATAATTCTAAAATCAAATGTGAGACCATCTTTCTGACAGATAAAGTTTAGCCCCAACCGAACCATCAACAGGACAATGATCTCAAACATGGCAGCAGAACTAGAACAGTATGACTGAAAAAGCAACAAATCGTGTTACAATGGGCAATTTTAAAGTCCTAACTAAAACCTGATTTTAATGTTGGCAAGGTACCTTAACAGATCTTTGCGGAAATTGTCTCCAAAGATAATTGACCTAAATAAATGTTGAAAAGAAGACTGGACTTAAAATTTCAACACAAACATGTGAAAGACTGAAAAAGTCACATTGGAAGTTGACAGTCATGGAAAGTTTCTTTTTCTAGTCAATCTAACATGGCGCTTGAAAGACACCTGCACAACATCATAGAAAAGGTCAACTACGACGCATTTTTTTTACGCACTCGAAAATCTGCAGTGATAACTAATAAGTAAAACTGATAAAATATTAGCGGTTAAATTTGAGGAAAATTGAGCTTAAACTACAGGTCCTTCTCAAAATATTAGCATATTGTGATAAAGTTCATTATTTTCCATAATGTCATGATGAAAATTTAACATTCATATATTTTAGATTCATTGCACACTAACTGAAATATTTCAG